TTGTGGGGCAGGGACAGTGTTTATGGGGCAGGGACAGTGTTTGTGGGGCAGTGTTTGTGGGGCTGGGACAGTGTTTGTGGGGCAGGGACAGTGTTTGTGGGGCAGGGACAGTGTTTGTGGGGCAGGGACAGTGTTTGTGGGGCAGGGACAGTGTTTGTGGGGCTGGGACAGTGTTTGTGGGGCAGTGTTTGTGGGGCTGGGGCAGTGTTTGTGGGGCAGAGGCTGTGGGGCAGGGGCTGTGGGGCAGGGCTGTGGGGAAGGGCTCTCCCCACACTCCCCCTCTGCCACACTCACAGTTGGCCTCTGAGCTCTGGGAAGCTCCCCCTGGATCCACAGAGGCCGAAGCTGTATTTTAACATTTTAACCTGTACTAAACCCCTCGTTTTGTAACCTCATCCCAGCTCTGCCAGGCCCCTCAGACACGTGAAAAGAAAGGAAAGCAGCTGCTGTCCTGCAGCTTCCCCAGAGAAAAACTTCTAATAAAAGCTTGGCCAATGCTCTGTAGTTATTTCCCTGTCTTCTTTTAAATGCAAGCTTATTTGTAGTGAAGCATTCACAAATGTAAATCCTTTTTTCTTTACCTTGTAGTGAACTTTGACCACTTCCAGATTCTCCGGGCGATTGGGAAGGGAAGCTTTGGCAAGGTAGGCTCGAGCTCTCAGTCTTGCATGGTTTATCAGGTGTCTGCTGTTATGTACTTGTGGTTTATTGGAACAGTAACGGAGCCAGCATTGGCTATTTTTGTATTTTTTTACGATGGCTGCTCAGTCAACACAGGAAAAATGTTCAGGAAAATACCTTGTTGCCATTTGGCATTGCTTTAATTCTTGGCATCTTGGTGCAACAGATGTGTTGTAAATTACCAGCACAATTGTGACCGTTTTACAGCAAACATTCTTTATGTTTTCAGTTTCCTGTGGGGATGTCTGGGTTGTGGGGGCACAGTGGGGCGGGAAGGTGCTGGAAGTTGTCCTTGGTGATTGACTGAGCTTGCACGCTGGTCAGAGGAGTTCTGTGAAGTCCTGGGCTGTTTTCCCAATCAGGAATCAGTTATGCTGAAGAGGTTTTGTTGTTTATTTTTAACTGGTTTTTCTTGCCAAGCATGTAGGAGGATGTGGGAGGTGATGATCAAAGAGCTGTGCATCTCTGGGAGTCGCTTACTGGTTGCTTCCCTGGTGTCAGTCCTTTTCCATTCCCCGCGTCTCCGGCTCTCCCTCCGTCCCTGTGCAGGTGACTCTGGGTGTTTGCCCCCTGACCTGGCGGTGCCAGCACGGCGTTCAGGGGATGTGCACGAGCCCAGGGCCGCCCTGGGAGCTCTGCAGCCCTCGTGTGACCCGTGTTGTGCAGTGAGCCAGCAGCAGAGGTGGCTCTGTGCCGCCAGGTGAGTCCCCGTGTGCTCTGGGGCTGGCAGCTGCCGTGGGCAGTGACCTCCGGGTGCTGAGGCTCTGTCACCTGCTCAGGGGCTTCTTGTGCAGGCTGGGGCCGTGTGCCAGCACTGGGGTTTTGGAAGAGACAGGCCTTGGAAATCGTGTGAAACGTGCAGTGCCAAAGCCGTGGAAGCGCCCAGCCCGGCTCAGTGGGCATCACAAGCGTCCCCACGCACCGGTGCCACACGCGGCACAGCTGGCTGCCTGCTCGCCTTCCCCCCTGTCAGCTCATCCTGGCTGCTTTCTCCCATCATACTCTGAACAAAAGCTGATGCTGTGAGGGTGAGGAATCCAGATCTGGCTCTGGAGATGACCCACGCTGTCCTTTGCCTTCTCCCTCTGTGGTAAAGCCTGACGAGGTCTTGTTCCACTGGACCACGGCCCCGGGAGCAGCCTGACCTGCTGTACTTGGACAGATGGAAGATGGAAACTTTGCAAAAGCAGAAATTTTCCAGGAGATCTGAGACCTGTTTGGTCAGAACACAAATTTTTACCAGTTACTGAAAATCTCTTTTAGGATACTTTATGTGTATGAAGCAGTTCTGGTGCTGAATAACAGCAGCAGCACAAAATCAGCCGTGGCTGCATGGGGAGGGTGCAGCTGTTCTGAGAGGCAGGAGAGGGGAGCCCAGTCCCAGAGCTGCCATCAGTGCTCCTTTCTGGAGAAGATGTTTCCATACAGCCTCAGTTTCCTGATGAACACTGGGAGATCGATTACCCTGCTCTGGCACAGCCCACCCACGTGAATTCCTGCTGGGCTTCCATGAAAGTCTGCCTGGGGCTTCCAGGGCTGATGAAAATGGATTGCCAGCAGCGTGCAAGTCACTGTGACGGTTTGAGGGGGTGGTTTGGAACACTCACCCCTCTCTGCAGCCACATCCCTTGAGCAAGGAGAGGTGAAAGCTTGCAGCAGAGCTCTGTCAGATTTCTGGGCTCCTGTTGAATGATGGTGAATGATTAAATACCAGCTCAGTCCCTGTGTATGAGGATGAGGCAAACAGCAGAAGGGAGTCTCCCCAGACACTCCTGGTGAGAACAGGAATACTCAGGGTCTTGTGTCTTCAGCTCACAATCAAAGACCAATCACTAACTCAAAACCTTAGTGGAAAAGAGCAGCTCACATTTTTGTTTCAAGCTGATAGGAGAAGATTCATACTTCAAATATAAACTTTCCAGAGAGGGAGGTTTTATTCTTTTAAGGAGCAGCACCCAGAAAATTAATTCTGCTCAAAACATGAAACAGAGAAAAACCAATTCTTGTCCCAGGGCAGGACTCTTGGTTTTGAAGAGAGCTGTTCCTTGTGGCTGCTCCCTGTGGCTGCTCACTCTGCATTTTGCATTGCAGAAAGGTTAAGTCTAGCACATGGCAGTCTATCAGGCATCAGAACTGTACACACACTGTCAACAAAATGCTGAAATGATTCATCTGTCATCTTTCTGGATACTTATGTCAATATGCTGAATTTCCTCTGACGCTGAGAAAAGCTTTTTGCGTTTACCAAGTCATTTACAACTCACATTTAATTACAGAAAACATAAAACTACCTTCCTGGCAAGTGTCATTAAAAATTTAGGAGTGACTTCGTTGCTTTGCTTGATTTAACCACTCTCTGCCCACGTTCAGGAGGATATTTAGGAGCCAGTGTCTGAGTAGACCCTCAGTGGGAGCTGTGACCCCAGCTGTGACCCCAGGTGTGTGACCCCAGGTGTGTGACCCCAGGTGTGACCCTAGCTGTGACCCCAGCTGTGACCCCAGCTGTGTGACCCCAGCTGTGTGACCACAGCTGTGACCCCAGCTGTGTGACCCCAGCTGTGTGACCACAGCTGTGACCCCAGCTGTGTGACCCCAGCTGTGTGATCCCATGGTGACAGGACCTGGGAGCAGTGCCTCTGGTGGCCCTGGGCACTCTGGGCACAGCATTTCCTCCCACGGTCACTTTGTGCAGCTCTCATGACATCCTCGTGTGGGAACTGAAGAAAAGGAAGGAAAAAGGAGTTCAGAAGTCCCTTAGAAGAGCCTGAGAGCCCCAGAGCTGTGGCTCAGGTGTATCTGCAAATAAATGTCCAATTTCTGTTCTCTAGAGATGGGTTTAATCAGCTTTAAGATACAGTTAATCAAATGAAGGTCAGGTTCAATTCCATGTTTACTCCAGTTAGCAAGTGTGTAATATTTTCCACACATAGTAAGGGTGATAGTATCTGATTTTCAGTGATTTAATATCAGCATTGTGTTGCTCCTGTTTTCCAAGCAGCAGCAGCAGGAGTTGCTCAGGTTTTGGCTGCTCTGATGCCATTTCCCAAGGAGCAGCAGCCAGGAGAGGGTTTCTAGAATGGGGTGTAGTTTGTGGCCCTGTTTTAGTGGGAAATGTGCTCAGAGGTTCACTGAGACCCAGCAATCTCTGCAGGCAGTGGTGGCATTGCAGGACCAGGACCTCTGCCTGTTAAATTTGGCCTCTTCTGGCTTCAGTCCCCGAGAGGCAGCTGGGGGTGTTTGCTCCTGAACTCCTCCTCCCACCTGGGCTTCCCTCCTGCTTCTGCAGCCCCAGCCCCAGCTGCCTTTTCCAAGGGATAAGGAGCTGGATGGGGTTGTGGGAATTCATTATTTACACTTCACTGCTGTGAAGAAATATGAGCACATCTGAAGTTTTTCAGCATGGATTTGTGCCTTTGTGTGCCATTGGAAATCAGGGATTAAACCAGGGATGGGGCTGGAATGAGCAGCAGCAGGAAATGGAATCTTCCAGAGGGAACCAGTATACCTGGGGCAGGTGCTGCAGGCCCGTGGGGGCTCTCAGCTGGCTCCAGAGGGGCCTGGGGGTCCTGGTCCCTGTGCCCAGCTCCACACTGACCCTCCCAGGGTCCCTGGCTGTGTGTGGGTTGCTTTGTACAAGTACTTCAGCTTCAGGATTTTGTTGCTTTAATAATTCACACAGCCTGGAGCTGGATACAGAAAGGCTTTAATCCATTTTCTAAAGGTCACAGATGCCCACCCAGTAGCTGCACCATAAATAAAATGCCCTTCAAGTCTATTCTCAACTGAATCCCTCTTTGACATCAACACTAGCTTGATCCATTTTCTTTTTTCCCAGCTTTATAAATGTTGGATTTTTCCCCATAAAGAAAGGCTGGAAACTTAATCCCTTGATATTTAGCTGCCACACATATTTTTTTCCCTTGATTTTTCCTTTGATTGATTTTTCCTTTATTGTCCTGGATCTCACATGTGGCTGAGGGTTTGCCAGAGCCACAGGCAGGGGCTGGACACAGGCTGGACACTGCTCCTGGTGCTCCATCACACACCATGCCATTGGCAGGCCCCAGGGTGCCTGGGCTTTGTCAAAGGGCAGCCTGCTCATGGAGAGGGCACAGCCAGGTGAGGGGTGTCTGTGGGTCCTGGGGTGGGGAGAGCTGCTGGTGCTGGGCCATCCAGTGCTGGTCAGGCCCCCCTGCCCGGCCCAGGGAGTCCTGCAGGATGCAGGAGATGGGCAGCTGCAGCAGGAGTGATGTGAAGGACATTAAGACTGGGGAGAGGTTCATCCCCAGAGGTGCTGGCACTGCCTGGGGAATGGGCACCGAGGCTCTCAGAGCTCCAGGAGCCTTAGGACAGCACTCCAGGGATGCACAGGGGGGATTGCTGGTGGGTCTGGGCAGGGCCAGGGGCTGGACTCCTTGTGGGTCTTTTCCAGCTCAGGATATTCCATGGTTTTGTGATTCTCTGATTCCACAGCACGCTCCACCATTGCATCCAGCACAGGAGCAGCTGCCTGGGCTGGGGACAGTGGCCAGGAGCAGGGTGTGAGAAAGCACAGAGCACACACAGGGGGATCCTCCCTCTGGTACCATCTCCCAGGTTGTACCAAGTGATTTTTCTTCTTTCCTGGATGTTGCTGCACTGTGAGTGTGTCATCGGTGGAAGCCATGGGAGGGAATGGCAGAGCATGAAAGGTGCAGTGGTGATGGGGTCCAGCACCTCCTCACTGTCTGCATCTCAGGCAGCAGCAGGAAAATTACAGAGTGGGAAATGCCACTGAAGTGTCTGGAGCGACTGGGGGAGCAGTGAGCTCAGCTGGGAGGAGCTGGGGATTATCCTGCCCTTCCCCACTGGGGACATGTTTGGGTTTCTGAGAGATCAGACTTCAAAAGACCAGGATTTATCAATCCAGCTGACCACTTTTGTTATTATTATACACCCAGTGCCTTATTAACATTTGCATTTG